GTGGAGCTTCCACTGTGCCGTGCTCTCGCGCCTCTGCAATGCCGCTACACACTGTGAATTCACAGACTGGGACATCAATAATCTGTTGCACCAATCCATATGAATGTTTTAAGGTGTAATAGCTGCTTTGTTTTGTTGTTTTTCAGTTCTGGGGATACACGATAGATAAGTCGAGATCCCAAGAAAACAACTGGAAATTACTTGTTATAACAGGAGAATTTAGTAAAATGAAATTCATGGATTCAAGTCCCTGCATACAAAAACAGCTATGGTCGGAAGTCCTTCTTTTATACATACACCAAAATTTGGAATGACATTCCCCATCACATTAGAACTTCACCATCTACCTCATATTTCAAAAATACATACAAACGACACCTTCTCCACACTTACACCTGCACTCATTAATTGTTCATGTATTGTTAAAGTATTGTTGGCAGTATCTGTACTGTTTGTTTCTATTTGTCTGTACCTGCCTAGCTCATGCTAATGTCCTGTAACCGTGTTTGTCTTGATGTGACATGACCGCAGAACAGGAACCTGCTGGAAACCAGTTTTTTAAACTGAGTCAGGCCCGTTAAACTGTAACTTAATGTTACTTTTAAACTTTCCTGTGTAATAAATGAAATGAAATGTCCGCTAATGGCTTCTGTATTTAACCATGAAAACATTTTTCATACTGGATTTTGGGATTTAGCTGCTAAAGTCTGACTGTTGAGCTTCTTGTACTACCATAAAGCTACATTTTAGCATTTCCACATTAGCCTAGCACTCTCCTGTTGTTGCCTCTTGTGACAGCTTTAAGCAAAAGTACTTTAACATAATAATAAGATGTGCTTTCTGCTGCTACGTCGTCATACACTCTAAGAAATTGCTGTAAATTTACAAGGAAATTTCAACAGTATGATCCTGTTATGTGTAAATACAGGACATTACTGTATTATAACAGTTTATAACAATATTTTACTGTATTATCGCTTGAAGGAAACAAAACAGTAATTTACCGTCGTTTTTGCAATGCATTTTGGGAAAAAGAAGTTGAGACCACATGGTTGAAAGGACAGTGGAGTTGGCTTTGCCCGATTGTCATCCATCTCCATCCTGACAATTAAGAGGTGAGTGCCTTACTGCTTCGCTAGTTAGAATTGGCAAAAACCATCACTTACTAAATTTGAAGTCATTTGTGGGATTAATGTTAGCTAGATTTGGAAATTACACAGAAACACTGCAGGCAGACACACACGCAGTGAGTGAATTCTATGCCAGCTAACATTAGCTTGAAATACAGATCTTAACAGTTGCTAAATGGGACAAAAAAACAAAACATTTTCTTGTAATGTGGTTAACTAAGTGGGCTATAATGAACTTGACTTGCTTGCCTGGTTGTACTAGAATGGTAAGGTTAGCTAACATCAACAAGCTAACATTTCTTTGTTTCAGCTTCAACTGAAACTGACACTGACTATTGATTAAATATTGAATTAGAAATGATGATTAGCTAGGCCTACTAGGCAATATGGCCATAGTATAAATAGTATAATATACAGTATTTGAAAATGTATAAAAGGAAACTTTTGTGAGACTGTCAGAATGGACCTGAAGCATGTTTTTTGTTTTTTACTGTTTTAACACATAAAGCTTCTGCCATACATCCTGAATTCCAGGACTTATTTTTATTCATACTAGTTCTACTTCATACTTTTACTTTATTTCTTTTATATGGAGAATATTCAGAAAGGATTGTCCATATGATAATGTTCACTGTTCAGCTGGAGCTGCTTTTGTTTTAATGTTGTTTTTTCCCTTTACAGAATCCTTGTGGCAGTTTCAGTCTGGAAGGAGAAATCAGAGGGAGGTGCAGGTCCAGGGACCAAATTTCCCTCAGAGGACAGGTTGTTTATTCAGTTATTTTTTTTTCACTTCTCTGTTTAAAATGTATCCACCAAAACTCTTTTATGTACTATACATTGGAAATGGCCTTTGCTAAATGTCTTAATGTAAATGTTTGTGCTAGATTTTTTGCCTATTTAACCTTCATGTTCTTAAAGTGTATCTTCTTTGTTTTTGTTACAGGTTCAATAAAGACAGATGTGATTTGAGAAGACAGTTTGAATTTTTATCATTTGTCTTAAAATTTTAAGTTGCAATTTTAAAGGCATTGTTTATTTATTATTTTAAAACATGTTTTATAACCTGACATGCAAGGAATCATTTATCAAATCACTAGGTTTAGAAAATAAATATATTGTGTCCATTTTGGTAGAAGGAAATTAATCTATAGCTCGGTGTAGTATTTACAATTCACAGTAAAAATCTGCAAAAAAAACAGTATTAAACAGTTAATTCTTTCAACAGTATTTTCCTGTTAAGGTTTAAAATCACAGCTTTTTGCTGTATTTAAAAAAACGGTAGAAAACTGTAAATTTCAGCAACAGCAATATACCGTTAATTTTACAGTAACTTCCTGGCAACCCTACTGCCAGTTGTTTACTGTTTTTTTACCAGGGGGAATTTCTAAGAGTGTATGTTCAGCAATATACTTACATCTATAACGTCTTGCTTTGCTAGTGTACTCTTTTAAGTTTGAAAAGGGCCACATTAATGTCAAAGCATTATATAAACACTCTATAGTGGGAGTGTTTATTGACATTGTGGTAGTCTAGGCTGGAAGAGATCCAGTAGTGGCCAGCATAAAAATACTGGTCAGAACACCCGACCATAAAAGCATGATCAGTTCTGGAGGAATGTGAGCGTGGCCTGAGTGCTGTGGCTGTAACATTCAACAGTCAGGCTGAAGTTCTGTAAATAAAATTTGATTAAAGGGAAACTAGAATTTAAAAGGCCTCAAATAAGGATACAACTGACCTGACTATCGTATTTTGGGTACATTTGTTGTACATTTCATACATGGCTGTCCCACTTCCTGCTTTTTTTCCTGGATTCAATTTAAACTCAGTCCTTTTGTTGTGTTTTTATTGACAACACTTTGCATGTCTGTCCTCTTCTAATGACCCTACATGTGGATGGACTGTTAAATGGTCAAACAGGAATCTCAAATTCATCTTTGGATCCATCTCACTGCTGAAGATGTTTAGTGAAGGAGGAAAGCCTCCATGACCCTGCTACATATTTATGATTTTCTTTTTTTTTCTGAACTTGAAGTTGAAAAGTCTGTTTTTAATTTTTCTACTCTTTATTTTCCTGGAGATGTCTCCTCTGAGAATTAACCCACAATCCCCTGGGTGTGGTGTACAGTCTGGCAAAAGGCTCAGCTCACAGTGTCTGGGTGGAAGAAGTGAGCCCACCTGTCCAATCAGATAGAAAGATGCCGACATGAATTCAGTTTTTCTGCCTTCTTCTAATTTTATGAAGTCTGCTTGAAACTGAAGAGCAAATATGTCTGTTTGAATATGTTATTTTAGCAGTGTTAGCATTATACTCTTTAAGATAGATTGTGTTGCACACTGCATTAATGTGTCCATTTTGACCCGTGTTCTTCTTTCTTCTTTCACAAAGATATTTTTTCAAAGGAATAATTTCCCTTTTGGGTTATATGATGGATGAGAAAATAGCTTTGACTCTCAAGTTTGTAGGCTATAAAGGTACAGCATACACGTGGTTAGCTTAGCTCTGCTGCTCCAATGAAGATCATTTTGCAGATAAACAGAGAAAGAAACTTTAATGAGTTGACGTATTCACTATCCTTCCAATAGTTAGATACAAAGACTACCCACCTCATGATTATAGCAAATATAAAGCCACAGCCAGTAGCTAGTTGGCCAATCCACCTCTAAAACTAATTAATGAACTTGTTTGAACACGTGGAGTAGAAATGACAGGCTATGATGTTACATAGTTGGTAAATCTCACCCTGAAGTAATTATCACTTTTAGCTAACTAGCAACACTATCATGTTTATGTGTCAATACAAGAAATAGTCTGGAACAAAACATTTCAGTTTCTTTGAAAAGAGCTTACATCCTGACAGACAAAGTTAGCCCTGTAAGCTGTATAAATGTTAAGTTTCCTGATATTTGAATCTTCTGAGTACCAGAAAAGCATAAAGACCAACAGACATCTTAGCCATGTCACCCACACTCCTTGTTCTTATCACCAAATGTCTGTTGAATTGTACAAATTGGTGACACAAGATTCAATAGCCTATTTTTGCTTTCAAAACTGGATTTTACACCTTCTTTGCATGTGCATGCGCACTCATCCCTAAAAAGGGGGTTATTTTAAGCGCTGGTCTGCATGTTTTAGTGGGGGAGGAAGCAAGCACAGAGTCTTTCTCTCGTGTCTGTGTCTCAGGGACAAATACAAACAGAAGCAGCTGCGACAAATATGGAGACTGCACTTGCTGTTTCAACACATCTGTAAGACAAACATTTAATTTCCACCTAATGAATGTGTTGTGAAAAATATATTCCTTCTGTATGAAGTATGTAATCCCCTTTTCAACATAAACGCTAACATCTTTACATTTCTGTGCAGTGGAATAAAACCTTAAATGCTATTTCATACATGTATCTTTACCCCAAGTTTTTACACCAAGAACTCTTAAATGTGCAGTATGTTCCTAAAAATACAAGTTAACAGTTTCAAGACAAAATGTGTAACTACAAATTTAAATTTAAATGTTTTCTTCTATTTGACTTGACAGTGAGGAATCTGGACAGATATTTTACAACGTACATTTGAATCAAATAAACTAAAGCATCTCCTTTTGTGTCCGTAGGTCTGGTCTTAAAGGAGATAAACACAAACTCATGTGTGCGCCTATTTTTTTAATGTTTTTTGCTCGAGTGGATACATTAAATCTTGTTAAATGGCAGGTTAAATCTTCTTGGTTTTTCATATTTCGACCTGTTTTCTCTTCAGTGAGGTTAAAGCCCCCTCGAGAAAAACTCCCAGACATTGATGCGTAATTTTACCAGACTTCCACGCACACAAACACACTCCCCAACAGACGACAGATGTTCCAAAATACCACAGAAACAACAACACAGATGCAGGCTGGGAAATGCCCTGCGAGATCTTCATTTGCTCCAGAATTAAGCTGCTTTAGGCTTTTTAGAGCGACATTTACACGTTGCGTGTTTTCACTGAGAGAGGGGGGGAGAGGGAAAAAAAATGGTGGCCTGTAAACGAGGGGAGGTGTTATTTATCCTCATTTGAAGTTGTGCAAGAGTTTTCTTTTTTTTTCCCGTACAGCTTTTTTTGAAAAACATGCGTTGCTCTGCAGATCAGCAAGACAGGGAGTAAGTGAGGGGAGTCATGTGTGGGAAACTGCAGCAGGAAGGAGAGTGCAGCTGGGAATTTTTTGCCTGGAGGGAAACAGACCGGAGCTCTGTGGCTGAAGAGGCAAAGATAGAGAGGAATGAGGAAAAGAGAGGGAAATAGAGAAATAGAAAAAGAGGGTAAAATGTTGAAGAAAGGGATGATGGGAAGCAAAGGATTTGGAGGAGGTTTGATGAAGATGAAGGCGGGGTGAAAGTGAGTGAGGAGGAGGCTGAAGGATGACAGAGGGAAGGAACTCCTGTCTTTGCGTCTTCTTGGAAGAAGAGAAATGTTGAGGTAAGTCACACACTCACACACACTTTTACACAAAAAACTGTAAATCTACACTTGCACACTCAATCACACAATCTGTCTCCCTGACAGTACAGGGGAAAAAAGCAGCAAAAGACTCCTCCCCATGTGTGAAAGGGTTTTTCTATCTCCGTCTTTGCCTTCACTTTCAATCTACTAACCTGTCATTTGATGTCTGTTTACATACCTGCATACACACACCCACAGTGTACACTCTCTCTCCCGCTCTATCTCACACACACACTCTCTCTCGCTCTCTCTCTCTCCAGCAGCAGGTCTCTGGAAGCAGCCAAACTGTCAGTTACTGTTGCAGACACATGCTCGCTCTCAGCGCTGCTCTTTTGCTGCCAAGGAAAGAGGAGGAGGAGGAGAAGAAGAAAAAGTGAGGCTGGAAGGATCAGACAGATAGAGGAGAGAAAGAAAGAAAGAAAGGGATTTGGACCAACCTGTGACGGCGTCCATCTGTCTACCTGAGTGTGAAGGCAACAAATGATGCCATAGCATCCAGGACATAGCCAGGACCATCTTTATATATTTTTACTTTCTTTTTTTTTAATAATGAGGAGAGACCGTCTCTTCTTAGCCGCAACCCTCACTGCCATCTTCTCTGCTGACCTCTACTTCATCCTGCTGCCAAAGCTGCGGAGCGTGGGGCTCAAATCGGAACACTTCTGCCCATGTGGTCCCAATAACTTTACCCTGCCCATGCACGGGGGTCTGGCCACCCCTCAGCTCTCCAACTGGACGTCTGTGTCATCGCCCCTAGATGGTACAACATCCGGACCAGATGATGGAGCTTCAAAATTGGAGAGGCTGTTTTCTCACCCTCTGTACAACATCGAAACTCCGGGGATCGGGCCGGAGGAGCGGTTGCTGCTGGCGGAGCAGCTGATGGAGTACTACAGGAGGAAGGTGTCCCGCTGGGAAAGGTAAAAATTAAAGTGTTATTTTTCTAATATTTTAAAAATCACATTCAGATTAAGCTACATTTGTCCACAATTTAGTTGATTTTGCAACCACACGATTTTCTGGTGTTGCTCAACTTCTATTGTGAAAGAGTAAATGTCGTACTGTGACAGCACGTGTTGGGGCTCGACTGTGGTCAAAGGGCAGGGTCACTGACATTACAGACAAACACACATCCGTACATAGAAACACACTTGTGGATTAACTCATGACAACAGAGTCACACACCCACACAGACTTTAGGATGTGTTAAGACAATACCGTCAATTGAGTCCAAATGTCAAGTGGGATTGCGACAAATACATGTCCTCCCTGAGAGCTCACATATGGAGTGCTCTCTTTAAGGTAAACAGGGATTTATAGCTTGTGTTAATCTGTGGGAGCTGTAGCTGTCTTGGCTTGAGAGGCTGTGTATGAATCCTGACCAGGCAGATACTCATTTTGGGCTCTTAAGGTTGAAATAGGGACAATATTTAGGATTGCACACAAACACAATGGACAACCCACATGTTTGTTTAAAGGTTGCAACAGCATCCAAACACCAACACCTAGACAATTTCATGTCAGAGGCTGCTAAAATAAATAGTGAAACCATTTTACTGTAATAGCATGCAGAAGCAGGAAACAACTAGTTTTATTAGCAACCTTTTCTTGTGTCCTTCTAAAATAAATGTTGCACCTGTTACACATTCTCCTCCTTGTCATTGCTGTGTTCTTTGTGACTCTGTTCTTTGTGGTGTAATTTCTATCTATGATTTAGCTTTTGACCCTTGAATAAACTCTTATTTTTATCCCTTCTCTTGGCGCTCTATCCAACCAATGTTCAAGTTTGTTTGGGTTGCAAGATGACCGTCCTACTCAGTGTGGTCAACTCAGGCGATGTGGTGCTGCTCTCTAACCACAGACATATTTGTTTTGGTCTCTGATTATTCTTCCCTGGGC